GTCAACATGGTTTCACTTAGGGGTATTTCAGGGCCACAGTCTTAGGACCTTTGCTCTTTTTGGTTTACATCACTGAAGTAATGATCAAAAAATTACTTAGACTTGCTGATGATATTAAGGTCTTGGGTGTTGCTAGCTGTGAAGAGGATGCTGCTGATTTACAAAAGGACTTAGATCATTTAGTGAGTTGGGCAAATAAATGGCAGATGGGTTTTACTTATAATAAATGCAAGATAATGCATGTGAGTTATCAGAATTTGAATTACAAGTATAATTTGGATGGGAATAACCTTAATAGTGTTATGGAGGAAAGGGATCTTGGTGTAATAGTTGATCAGTCTAAAGCCATCCAAGCAGTGTGCTGTTGCTAGTGGTAGGGTAAATAGGATTTTAGTTTATAGCTATAGAAATATTGAATATAACTCTAAAGAGGATATAATTTCATTAAATAAGTCACTAGTTAGGCCACATTTGGAGTATTGTGTTCAGTCTTGGGCTTTTTACCTTATGAAAGTCATTGAATTCTTGAAAGGGGTTCAAAGGAGGCTTCTGGAATGGGAAAGTTGTCATACAAGGACAGGTTAAAATCTTTGGGATTGTTTTATCTTGAAAAAAACAAAAGAGTTAGAGGATATCTGATTGAAGTGTTTAAGACTGTTAAGTGAATTGATAGTGTTGGTGTATCATCTTTTTATGTATTTAATGGTGAAAATGGTAAAACTAGGGACTATACATTTTGGCAGGTATTTGGCCTTTGGAATTTTTAATATTTTAATTACTAGAGGGAATTCTTTTACAAGGTTTAATGATTTTTTGTTTAATCTCAACTGTTTGTGAAAGAGAGGACGGTATAAAAATGCCAGACTTAATAAGTTACAGTTAATTAGTTCAGAGTCATATAAACAGTGGGATTCATTTAGTCTGTTTGTGAGTGATTTGGTGTGCATGTTATTGATGGGTGAGTGAGAAGTTTTGCAAGTGAGTGAGTGGTATTTTTGTATTAGGTATACAATAATTTTGGAATTTCTGTTGAGATATTATTTGTAAAAATAGGCCTACTAGTGAATGTAGCCTGTATAGAACATTATTATAATATTATATAATATTAGTAGAAGTTATTAAAATCATGCTATATACATATTGGGTACTAGGTTTTAAAGATAATGAAAATAAAGTAAAACAAAAGATACATAACAATAATTATTATAATAAAGTTAAAAATAAAGTAGTTGCTGTTGGCCAGTTGCTCCCCTCCTCTGTGATTAATGGTTCAGAATTAGGGACGTGATCAGTGGTTTGGAGTTTGGGATGTGATTAACACTGTTGAATTAGGGATGGTGCCACACTCATTCTGTGGTGGGATTCTGTAAATGAAAGTAAGAGACCTTGTGGTTTGATAGGTGCTAGAATCCAGTGTTATATAAATCTACTGAGTGCTTTTTTTTGTCCTCCAGGTGAGCAGTGTGACACTTAGTGGTCTGTCAGAGCTTTTGCTTTCTTTACTTCAGATGAGCAACATTACATTAAGTGGTTTGTTGATGTTTTTCTCAATCCATCTAAGCAATGTGGCATTAAATTGTCTGTTGGTGCTATTTATTTACTCCTAATGACTGTAGTCACTTCATTTCTGGTTGAAAATTTCCAAGGTTGTCAAACAAATTTAAAGAAATATCATCATAATTTAGATAAATAAATTCAACAATTTAAAAGGTTATTCAAAAATAATTTTGAATGTGTTGAGGTTCATTTTTAAATTAACTTTGACATAACAAGTGCATAGGATAATTGTACCACTATGCAGTGGCTGATTACCTGTGTGTCAGGTTTTATTTCTAAGCTTCATTAGTTAATTAGCCACAAGGTGTGACAGCTACTTTATAAAATTGAAAATTTTTACATCGAGTCGGTTTAACACCCTAACCTTTCTTGTTCTTTATGTAGGTGATACAGCAACGTGCAGCAAGGATGTGAACTACAGTTATTGCCTCATCAAGATAACAAGGTTAAGTTACAGACAACTGTGATACCATAGTAGATAAGTCACATGGTGGCACCATGCACCACTATTTAGATTTCAATCCAAGCGTATGGTGCCCACATGCCCTGTTAAAAAAATAAATTTAAAAAAAAAGTGTTGCTCATCAGCATAAAATTTTGATTGTGTATATTAATTTTGTGTTGTTTTTATAGTACTTTTGGGTCATTTTATACAAACATTTTATGTGAAAACACTTCTTCTTTTATTAACTAAACAACAAATATAAGGTCCAGTGCCGTTGTCTGTAGCCTTTTGATTGTGAGTAGCACAGAAATCGGTCATTTTTAGCAGTGCCTGGTAAAGCTTCAAGACAACTTTGATGTCATGCTCACTTGGTGAAGAATAAACAAATGCAAGTGTTGTACATTTCTTGGTTAACTTATTGCTATTAAAACAGTGTGTATATTTTCTTTATTTAATATGTACTTTTGTTCACAAGGTATTAATTATTAAATTTAGAACTTCTACAAAGCTATTGCGTTTTTTTTTCTATTGAAGTTTTCAGAGCTTTTACGATTATATTTTCAGAATAATGACGACATGGAAGGTGTTTTAATCCCAAACCCTCTTGATAACATAAGTAGTTGTTGTTCCCTAAATAGTATAGCTTAATCTTTTTTTTACCTTTCTGATTCTAGCCTCACCTTGACTTTTTCTATATTTGATCTTTGTGAAAATTACTATTTTTTTGTAACTCTATTTGGTTGCTTTTGTATGTAAGTGTAGTATTTCAAATAACTGGTGTAAAACTTGCTAAATGAAACTTTCATCAGTTAGCTTGGTATTAACAATTCCTCTTTTGTTTATGAGGCATCCTTTTAAGGAATAGTTCGATGTGAAAAATGTATGTTTAATTTATGCTTACATTCCTACTGTAATATTGTTTGAAATTATGGTGACCAGGTATTTTAAGTACAATGGGAAGAAAAAAACATATAATCTGAGAAGCCTCTAGCCTTCTCTACTTATTATTTATCATATTTCTTATGGTAGAAAAGATACAAGAGTAAATTGATTACTTGAAAATGTTTATCACAGTATAATACTCATATCATTGATTTGGTAGTATATGGTGCTTTTTTACTTTTCAAGTTGAATTATGTTATTTTCAAATTTACTGGACAACTATTACAAGAGATTGAGTGCAAAAGGTAGATATGAGTTTTGATTCAGTGCTTTTGTCTTGTTTCCCATGTTGATTAGTTAAAGTGTGATATGTAATTTGTGTCCTATTTCTGAAATATACATTTTTTTTTAATTAAGGACAAAAATATAATATGTGAACAATGACTTGAGTTTATGATAACACAGGAACAAAAACATCTTGGTGTCATAACTGAAACAAAGTTTTTACTCTGTAGTAATGAACCTGCTGTACAACCTTTCATACTTTACTCAGGTTGCAACTGTTTATTGTAATTTTTTCAGCTATATATTACAGAAGTTTATAGAATACATTCAAAAATTATAAACATCTTAACTGTTTTACAAATATTTTTAGGTTTTTTGTAAAATCTTATAACAACTACACACAATCTAAGTGGTGAAAAGTTAATTTTGTGTGTTGTCCCTTTGTAGTTTGTTTGCTTCTATGTAATGTACCATATTAAATGTAAAACTGTACTACGGAATTCTAAAGAGTATGAATATATGTATTAATATTATTATTTAAAATAGGAAGTTGGATTGGAAGGTTAACATAATATTTCACTGATTAATGTAAATACAATCCACTTAAACATTTTGCTTCCACGGAAAACCTGCTCTAACTTTTGAGAAATTCCTTAAGTCAAGAATTAGTTAATGTTCCAAAATAATGTTTTATCTTGAAAACTACGGAAACTTTAAGATGCAAAATTTCACAACAGGAGTAAAATACATTCTTCATAGTAATGACTCGAAGGCTTAATTCGTCCTTAACTTTTTTACACTATCAGTTTAGAAGGTGTTGGAATCCCTCATGTGGTAAAAAAATAACAGAATATTATGACGGATAATGTTTTTCTCACCATATCAGAAGCTTAAATATCTCAAGTTGTTAAATTTTGAGTGATACGAACACAGTACAGTTAACTCATTTTTGACTTTGCACTAAAACAAATGAGTGTACAGGTTGTCAAACCATATTTCATTTTATTTGTCATATGTTTCACTTAAAAATATGATTTTTCTTTGTTGTAACAAATTTTTCTCTCCATTTTAAGTACATACATCTTTGAAGCTGAAAAATAAAATAACAAATAAGAAGTTTAGTATCGCATGAAAGTTTGTAAGAAATTGAAAAAATTTTAAACTTGAAATTATGCAAGTCTTACATTGTGGGGGAGACCAATGTTCAATCTCAGAGAGAACCTGATTTAGCAAACATTTGACACTTCTGGGGTGAAAATGTGATTGTAAGTATGGATGTAGTCTTATTGCAGATACATGTTTATAAAATGAGTCTTAATTAATCAGTGTTTTTTGTGAATGTGGCTATAGTTCTTGAATATAGTAGGGATTAACATGCTTGTACAAGTTTTCTGAACACAGCAGCGGTTTGTTATTATCCTAACAGAAATGTTGGTCATGACATCTAGTTAGATTTACGTTTGTTGTGTTCTAAATAAATTACTAAGAACTTCATTTTGTAGTACCAAAAGTTTGGTAATTTAACTTGGTGTTTCAATGACATTCATTTCCTCTCTTGTCTCTACATATAGAAATATATTACAACAGTCCTGAGTCCTTAGGCCTAAAAATCAAATAAACTTCAACCAAACAGGCAGTACCATTCAGTGTACTTTTTTTAACACATAATATTCATAATCACTCAGTAAAAGATTTAGTCATACTATTTTAACAGTAGACAGAAGACGACCTCTACAACTTTGAGCTACAACAAAAACTTTGCATTCGAAGTTTTTGTTTCTCAAAAACCACAATTTTTATCATAGTTGTTTTGGGATACTTGAAAGAAACAGCATAAGAATATATGTACATTTTTTATATAGTAGACAAAAAAGTTAACCGACCAATCTAAGCATGTTAAAAATCTAGTGAATCTATTGGGAAAGTTTGAACAGAGGCAATATAATGTAAATCACATAAATTCAGTGTTCTAACTACTGTTAATATGTTATTTCACAACAGAAGAAATGCATTTAATGTGGTGATAGCCTACGTTTTCAAGCCTTAGTCTTCTGTAAAAATTTTCCAGTAACTCCTCCAGGCTGTGAGCTGACCCCATCATAAAAAAAATTATTTTGGCAACAAAAAACACAAACACTCAAAACCTTTTCCTTTATTAATCAATAAATGAATACTGAATATTACAACTATGTGTATTTATTTAACACAAACTAGTTGAATACTGAAGCTACTGAGAACAACAAACGTGTATATGCTTCCATCTGTCGGCACTGATGTTTACAAATTATTTGGGGTCTGTGAAGATCCTGGAAGACTAACTCGGTAGAATGAAGAAGTTGGAAATAAAGGCTTAAAATATTAAGAGTAATAAATTTAAGCTTAGGAAGATTATATGCAGACACACTTTTAAGGTTAATTCCTTCTAGGTTTAAACTTGTGGAATAGTCAGCTTGTTCTATTAGTTTAAGTATTTGATAGATATATAGATGTAAAGTGCTAATTTTTATAGGGGTGGGGGAGAAGGGTTGTTCCCAAATAGCCTGTTACTTTCATCTTCTGTGTTAAAATAATGTAAACATAGCTGAAAAATAAAGTACTGCCTTGTTAACTTTTGTCCCTTATTACTAGAGAAACTTATGACTGTGCTTAAGAAGGTTTTTGTCCTACAAAGGACAAATGAAAGTGCAATTTACTTCAATTTTTTTTATATAGTAGACAGTAGTACTATACAATACTGCAAAACTATTAATGACAATAATAAAAAAATACAGTTTAAAAAGTTTATAAACACTGACTTGCACCTAAGGAATAGTGTACCTAAAGATTACAACTAAAGCTCAGAGTCTACCTAATAAAAATAAATTGATGCATACACTCTTCTTACTCTTGTGTTTCAAATAATAGTACAGGGTGGAAAAATTCAAACTCAATGACAGAACAGGTCAAAATCATAGTATGAAATTGAATTTTGTATTTTTCATTAAAGAATACTGAATGAAATAATCATGCAGGTCCAAATAAGCATTGTGCAGGGTGGAAAATTTCTCCAAAATTAATAATCAACCTAGAATATCCTTATACCAGTATTTTTATTTTCAGTTTAACATTTTGCTTGTGTAAGCTAACATTACATAAAATGAGAAATACTGAAAAATTCATAGAAAGTTGCATAAAACTGTGGTTAACCAAAATTACGTAGTTAATAGATGTAGAATGGCAAGCCACATTTACATTTTAGGAAATGTAATAAGTTTATTACTTACTATACATTTTTTTTTTATTGTTAATAACACCAATCTGCTATATTTGTAAATGATCATAACAAACAATTCAATACCTGTTCTTTACAGCAATACAATGAAATGTCACAAGCTTACCAAATTAAATATTTTTAAAGTTTTCATACATTATACATATATGTTAACAATAGTTTAATTTAAGCATAAAATATCTAAGAAGGCCAATTGGTAATTTCTTTTTCATGCAGTTAAACCAAAATGCCACAAAATCATATACGTAAATTTCTTGGCATCTCTGAAGAACTTAAAAAAAAAAAACTTTTTAAATTTAAATATTATCATGTTCAATTAGGTCTGTCTATTAATTCTTGTGTTATTTTTTTCTGTTCTTTTTTTTCTGTTGTCCAGATACTTCATTGGGATCTTTTCCCGAAGCTAAAGCCAGCTGTCTTTTTAACTCCAGAAGCTGTTGAACTTCTCTTTCAATTTCTGCTTTTTCAGCCTTCCTACTTTTCAAATCTCTAACTAGATTTCCTTGCTTAGCAACTAAATCTGTTAAATGGTCTAAAGATGCTTGGTCGACTGTATCATGTATTTGAGTGCTTGGTTCTACAACAGATGTAGACTTACCACCTTTGCTTGACATTTTCTTTGATGGTGATTTCTCCTTGGGTTGTTCGTCACCTGCAAATTTTTTCTTCAGGTCTTCAATAAAACTTGTTTCAAGTTTTTTGAAAAGTGGTTTAGGATAATCAATTTTGTGTCCTGATGGTAAACAACAAGTAAAAAAGGAAGTAATAACATGACAATCTGGAGTTGTGTTCAGCTGCTGTTTTAATTTAGTACTTGTCTCTGGCATGTAAGGCTCGATTAAGGTAGCCAGCAAGCAAGCAATGTTAGCACAAAGCCCCATCACTGTTCCTGCACGTTCTCTCTGTTCGTTGCTGCCTTTCACATGTTCCCAAGGCTTATTGGACTGAATGTGTTGATTGCCCAGACGACTAATAGAGAACACAGGACGAATTGCGTCTCGAAGCTTAACCTTTTCCATTAACTCAATATAACTCTGCAACTCTCGATTCACACGTACTAGTAACATTTTATCTTCTTCATTTATTTTCATTTCAGGAATCACACAACTGAAGTTGTTGGCAAGAAACATCAGTGCTCGGTTCACGAAGTTGCCAAAGTTGTTTAATAACTCTGAGTTATTCTTCAGTAAAAGATCATTCCAACTGAAAGAAGAGTCCTGTGATTCTGGTCGGAGACTTAGAAGGTAAAAACGCCAGACATCTGATGGAATTCCAGTCTCTTTAGCATCTGTACCAAATACTCCTATACCTCTACTTTTTGAAAATTTATCATTTTCGTAATTGAGATATTCAACAGCAATCAAGTGATTCACCATGGTGAATTTTTCTTTCGTCCCAATTATTGATGCAGGAAAAATTATACTGTGAAATGGTACATTATCTTTGGCCATAAACTGATACAGCTGTACCTTTTCTGGCTGCTTCCACCAATTTTCCCACTGATCAGTATAAGAAGCAGTAATAGACAAATATCCAATTGGAGCATCAAACCAAACATAAAATACTTTGCCTTCATAGCCTTTCACAGGAACAGGAATTCCCCACTTTAAGTCCCGAGTTAAACAACGAGGTTTCAGACCTTCTTTTAACCAAGAATATGTAATAACCTTAGCTGTATTAGTCCAATATCCACTCTCACAGGACTGATCAAGCCAAGTATGCAAGTCTGGTTGAAGTTTAGGCAGATCCAGAAACAAGTGACGAGATGTTTTCAAGATGGGAGTGCTTGAACAAACTTTACATTTGGGTTCTTTTAGTTCTACTGCATTAATCAGCCGTCCACATTTGTCACACTGGTCACCTCGGGCATCATCATAGAGACAAAATGGACACACACCAAGCACAAATCTGTCTGCCAGGAATCTGTGGCATTTTTCACAAAATAGCTGTTCCACAGTATCTTCAAACAAGTAGTTTTTCGCATAGAGCTTTAGAAAGATGTCTTGTGCAATTTGTTTTTGCCAATCAGTTGTTGTTCTTCCAAAGTAATCAAATGATATGTTAAACCACTGGTATACCTCTTTGTGTAGTCTGTGGTATTTATTACAAATTTCCCAAGGTGTTACTCCTTCCTCTAGGGCTTTTGTTTCCGTAGCAGTACCATACTCATCTGTCCCACAGATATACAAAGTCACATAATTTCTGTTTCGACAATACCTAGCAAAGACATCAGCGCTAAGCACAGCCCCTATGATGTTTCCCAAGTGAGGAACATTGTTCACATATGGTAAAGCACTCGTTACTAAAATATTTCTTTCCCCTTCTTGAGGTAAAATTGGAAACTTTTCTTCAGACTTCTTAGGCATAAAACTTTTCCCTTTCAACCAGTTTTTAAAAACAACAAACATTTCTTCTTGGCTAATAACATCTTCTTCAACCTGAGAAGTGTTCATTTCAACATCACTTGAATTAATTACTTGTGGAACCAATTTACCTCTCTGAGTAGATAAAGCAAAATTATGTAAAAGAGGGTCTTTTTCAATCAAAGTTTCCTTACAAGCACTTGGTTTCTTTTCACCAAAAACATACCGTACCGCTTCTTTAAAACTTTCGTTCAAACCAATTTCATGAAACCACCTACAAAGAGAAGAAAATTTTTTAACTGTATCTGCACCTAGTTTCTCATCTGTTATTACTGGATATACAGTTGACCAAATAACCACATCACCTATACCTGGTAAGGTTCCACTGGCACTGCTGCGAGGGAAATGAGGTGTAGATGTGAGAAATGAATCCAGATATTGCAAATGATTCATTAAAGTTGAAAATAACGCGTCATTTAGTTTATTATTCTCAAAGAAATTTGCTATAAACGTCGTAACATATGGTTGCAAACAGTTGCTTTCCCATTCCAGCCATTCCTCGGTAATGGGATCAAACGTAGTATTATTCCCAGATTCTCGCTGATGAAACAAGTACCAGCAAATAGCATTCGCTGAAAACAAACATTCCGACGACGGAAGTTCAAGAACTGGAGGTCGAGAAATAGGACTGCTAGTGCTAACATTGTTACAAAAACCAGAGCAACTTGCCTTTGGCGGAATTTTAACAATTTCTACTTGTGCGTCTGTAATACCTGCCGCAATAACAGTCTTTAAGCTACATAAATTTTTTAAAATAATGTTAAGTTTCATTTCCAAGTCTTTCAATTTTACTTTACCTATTAACTCGAACGTCACTTAACAATGACATGCACCTCGTAAATTCACCAGGAAGCCATGCGGTAAGCTGACGTAGGTACTGGATACAGCTACTCTGGTGACATCTATATATATATATATGTCGAGAAAAATAATATTACTTCTTTAAATAATTGTTGAGTTTAATCATTGTTTATAAATAAGAAATACTGATTTATGGAATCTGTGTATAGACTGCTATTCTACCTTTCTAATATCAATATGAAGTAAATGAATTAAACTAAAAGTTTATTGGAATAAGAATAAAGCCTTTTGGTTTCTAACAGACGAAAAATCCTAAATACTGAACATAGTTACTATAAAATAATATTGTTACGTCTCCGTTTGTTAATTAACTTTCCGTAACTTCGTTCCGACGAAACTTTAACGATACAAGTCTTTACTTAATAAAACTGGTTTATTCTTTCCGAATATAACTTTACGATAACCATGTTTTCAACAATCGCGCTAAAACAAACGCTATATCAACGAACGTAAACTTCAACAATACGTCTCTCTCAGACTGCAGTTCAATTACTCATTACCTACACACACATTATTATCCCGTCACGTTGTCACCCTCTTTTATATACCAGTCTACCCTATATCTAGTAAATACTAGAGCATTCGCCAAGGTACAGGATAGTTCTAGAAAATAGATGGCGCCACACCAGTCACGTGACCTCGATGACGCAACACTGCCCCTCCTTAGTATTGTTCGTCCCGAACAATTGCCACTTACAATAAACCAATAACAATAACTTAATTAAATGTACAGAATTACAATTCAACAAAGTCTCTTAATTTTACGGGACGTATCTTCTTCCGTACTGGTCTCCGTCATGTTGGATTCTGCTTCATGTGAGGTTCATCTGCTTCATCAGTAAATGTCCTATCATCGGTAACAGTCACATCAGTGGTAGTAACCTCATCAAGGGCTTCGCTGTTTCCCTTCTCAAAACCGAGTAGAGTTTCTTCTTCGTCAGTGGCCTTTCCAGGTGACATGTCTTCAGCGGCGTATTTTGTTCTGTTGTTCACTTCGTCCCAACTGAAATGTCCTGGAATGTGATAACGCCAAAGCCTGTTGCAATGCACCACCTTTGGCTTACCTCGCCGACCACATTTTATTCGAAAAGTCACGTCTGAGAGACGATCCACTATGTCATATGGGCCTTCCCATGGAGAAGACAACTTAGGAGACTTCCCTTTGGTCTTCCTGGGATTATACAACCACACCTTGTCTCCTGGTACAAAGCTGAGTTCAGTAAATCTCTTATAATAACATAACATCATGGAATCAGCAGAAGTTTTAAAGTTTGAAACACTTGATGGTGAATATCATTCATCCTTTCAGATAACACTTTCACGAACTCTGACACATTTTCAGGCAACTCTTCATATCGTTGACGTCCTGT